TGTTTTCAACAAATTATTAAAAAGTTACCAAATGTTAATCGACCTGAAACTGTTGATATTAAAAATTTGATACCTCGTTTTTGTAGTCGGCTTCAACTTGAGGAAGTAAATCTTATTAGAAAAACAGCTATCTATATTGTTGAACAAGCAAAAGAACTTTGTGATATACAAAGTCGTGCACCAGATTCAGTTGCAGGTGCAGCCATTTATATGGCTTGTGCTGCTGTTAATGACCGACAGCCATTGAAAGATATAGCAACTGCAACTGGTGCATCAGAAAATACAATTCGACAAGTTTATAGAATAATGTTACCAAGAGCTGCTAAATTATTTTCAGCAGATTTTGTATTTAAATGTCCATTAGTTAATTTACCAAAGTCATGAAAAAATAAAATCCATTTTTGAAGGATGGATTACCTAGTTTAATTGTATTGAAGTGATTGCTTTTATTAAAATATGTTCCTTCGATTGTGTACATAATACTATTATATATCTCAATAGACATGAATACTCTGTTTCATTGTTCATTTTTATTTTTTAAACATTATCTAAAGTCATATAATAAAGAAGTGTGATGTTCTTTTTAATCACTATTCAATAAAATTACTTATATAAATATCTGTTTCATTGATATCTGCTACTCGTCTACAACCATACGATGGTTAGAATTCTTCGTTCTTTATATCTTTGTAATTTCACCATATCGATACTGTATGTTGTAATGTAATGAAGGTATGAGAGCGACTCTCTTTAGTTGTATCTTTATTCGAATGAATAACGAAAACAGACAAAAGAAAGAAAAAGAAACAAAGAATGTGAATAACGAGAAACGAGATATGATGTGAGAGAATGTGAAGGCATATAACGATATGACTGTAACAGAAGGAAAGAAAAAAATTACACCATCTACAAACATATACAACTAAAATATGAGTTCGATAAGAAATAAAAAGAGACGAGCCATGATCGATGACTAACACAACTCTAAAGTTATGAGACAGAAGCATTACTTTCGGTCCTAACGGACCACAGTCATCGATCAATTCGACACTCGTTTTTTTTTAATTAATTCTGACAGTAAAACTTTATTAAATAATATAAAAAGCATGAGTCATGTATAGTTGTTTACTGTTCATCAGTTGATTCTATTTTTTTTCTTATTTCAAATACTCGTACACCTTTTTTATAGTTTTCACTTTCATCAGTGTATGAGAAGATGAATGCTGATTGTTTTAATGATATAAACTGTTCATTATCTGCATCTAAGTTTTCATCTTTTATTCGATCAATAATCGTTGTTAATGCCGCTTCAATAATTGCTGGTAATAATGGACTTGCTTTCATACACATATTTTTAAATTGAGCCGCAATAAAATTTACTTCTTCAGTATCCAATGCACTAACACGTACACAATTCTCTAAATTTTCTGACACTTCATTAAGTATTTCATCGTTAACTTCTGATTCTGTTTGCTTGTTAGGCAATCGTTCAAATTCACTTTTAAACGAAGCAAGTGTACTATGTTCCGCATTGCAAGCAATCATTTCAGTTATTGCTCGACGACAAAAATCTTCCATAATTTCACCAGGATTAGGCTGCAGTTCATGAATTGTCATAGATACTTGCGTATTATCAATGATTCGATTTCTACAATAGAGAAACGAGATTAAAAAAACGTACCATATTTAAATAAATATATCTATTTACTTTATTAAATCAAAATCAGCTTCAAGTTTACGAATATATTCTTCATCTATTTCATTGGTCAGACGTGTTGTATCGATAGCTTTTGTCAAATAATATCTAGCTTCTTTCCATGCTTGCTTTGCTTGATAAGCAATACCCAATCGAGAATATTGATAACTGATTGTTTTATAATTTGTTGGTGTATATTTTTCCGTAATATTCAAAGCCCATTGACTGGTTAGAATAGCTCCTTCAACAACATGAAGCTCTAGAAAACAACTTGATACTATATTGCAAATGTCAACAAAGATAAAATGATCTTTATGATTGGGCATCATATCTCCCAGTTGGCTCATTGCTTGAAATTCATGTGCAATGGCAAGCAGAAACTTGTTTTGTCCAAAATAATACTTTCCCACCAAATGATGTTGATAAACATTGAGAAATTGTTGCACTGGTAGATTAATCAATGGTTGTCTACAATGGATAGGTATTTCAGCTAAAATTTCTTCTAGTTCGATTGAATCTGCCGATGATTGAGATGATAAAGAAGCAGGAGTTGGATTAGGCGAAGATAAAATACTTTGGCGACAACCCATGTTTAAATATCAGATATAATCAATCTAGATAAAATAAGATAACAGATTCTAATAAATTAACAATAAAAACTGCTAAACCATCGGCAGTTATATAAAAAGCGTCTGACATGTTGTTTTATGAACGTGATCAGAATTATCGTTATCTCAACAATAATATTTATAAATAACACGTTGTGTATAAAAATAAAAGCTCAAAGACAAACATATAAAACTGCAGAATATATGTGATGATTGTTTTTGTGTTTTTTTAAATATTTTTATATATTCTACAGCATTTGTATGTCTCTAGTTTTTTTTGACGATTCTACTTTTTTCAATCAAAAAGACTCTTGATGATTACATATGTGACTATCGAGTCGTCTTATATTGATACTTTTTGAAAATCGGCTTCAACAGATATATTGAAATGATATTATATAGTTTATATATTTGTTCAAATATTTGACAATAAATCTAGCAAAAAGTATCACAGAAAATTGAGATTGCTAGAAACGTGTTTTGTGTTACTAGAGGATGTGAGTGCGTGTGATAAAAACGAGATGAATCCACATCTACAACCAAACTTCCAGGTCTTTATCATGATTCTATTAAGAATTATTAAAAAAAAGTTTTTTTTTTGTAATGGGTGGGTGGGTCTAGATATGAGTGTGAATTCATTACGTATTTTCTCTCTCCGACACCCACACCATCAAGATACAGATTCTGAAATTAACAGTTTGCATTAAGCCACTATTAAAAAAAAGAATATGATATATTATTGCACAATAGGAGTATATCAATAAAATGATAATAGACATTTTTTATATACTTTAGAGAAAGAAAGGAGTATGATGTCATAATGACATCGTTCTGTAAATCAATGGTAGACTTATATATTGAATGTGCCATAGTTCTCTTTATTTTTATTATATTTATCATAAATTAAAATAGTTTAGATAACATAATATTGAAAAATATTTACTTGAGTATTTAGTGTCTAGAAGCATCTCTTTATTTCTAATATTATTCTTCAATTTGATGTTTACTAAAAGAGAAAAAGCATGCGTTGATGATTGCGTAAGTTTTTTTTTTCATTTCACATTCATTCACCGTTTTATTTCTCTGTGTGTTGATTCAATATATAAGACTTTGAAAGCGATTGTATATCGCCCACGGGCACCTAAGAAAAGTGGAACGATACAGAGAAGATTAGCATGGCCCCTGTGCAAGGATGACACGCATAATCGTGAAGCGTTCCATATTTTTTTTAATTCTTAAGGGTGGGTGTGGGTGAGTATAAGTGTAAGTTAGAATATGACTATGGTTGGCTGTGTTTCCATTATATACTCACATCCACCCCCTCAAATATTCATACATCAATACTTTGATAGATCACTCTGTAACATAAATTTAAAAATGATTGCACAAAGTGAACATTTTCAATGGATTTCAAATACAAATATTATTAAAAATCTGACTATCGAATCAGTGGAAACATTGAAAGAACTGGAATTTATTATAAAATTATGTCCTCGATTACGATATCTCCCGATTGATAAAGTTAACGAAAATTTTATACCAATTTTAATATTTTTATTATCGAAAAATAATCATTATTTAAATTCATTTTGTCTCAAATAAGTAGAAGCAGATTCAACTACTGTTTCCAAAATGAAGGCTTTAATGAAAACAAATATTGTTCGTAGTCGATATTGAATGAAACTAACAAAATATTTGACTAAATCGATTTACTTTTGGCGCAAATAAACAAGAATATTATTTTTCTTTGATATAAAATTATTTTGAATAATCAGATTTTATAAAGAAACTGTCATTAAGATGACGATCATTTATTGAATAGTGTTTTATAAACATAATCGATGAAAACAGGTTAGGTAAAATATAAAAAAAATCTTTCGATTTTAATATCCGTCTGGGGTGTGGATGTAGGTGAAATATAATAGCCACACCTACCCTCAACTAAGAAGTTAAACAAAATTGCAGCAGTATTATCTGCTCTAAGTATCCATAGTGCACATTAAAAATCTTGCATGATATTATCACATTATAGAACGTCAATTAAACATGTTTATTTATCTTTAAAAGCAGAAATAGTGTATTCAATATACAGACATTAAATTGCGATTCATTGGAAAGTTGAGGTTATGGATCTGAGTGTAGGTAAGAAAAGAACACAACATCCACATCCTTAAATATTGAAAATAGGATAAATTTATTTCTTTATAAAAAACAATACATTAATCAAAAACTAAATAAATCTCAAAAGGAAGATATTTTAGATTTAAAAAATATCCTTGAAAAGATTGTAAAGAGAAAAAATGGATTGTTGAGTAAATAAATAAAATCTTACTCTATCTTAATCTATAATAACTTTATTTTGTCAGATTAACTTGAGACAAAAGCGTCTCAGTTTTAATATTTCAAGAACTTTGTACTTAGTAATAATTAATTATTGAATTGAATGCAGTTTTGTATTATGAGTGTAGGTATGTTGCAGTCAAATCACACAAAATACTGATCTCGTGATAGTAAGAAAGATTTTCTTGCATCAAAATATCCATGAGTCAACGCTAAGGGGAAAACTTATTTTGGCATTCTGAACTATTTCGTGTGGTTCAAATTTGAAGAATTCTGAGCATTTTCTAGAACTGTAGTTAGGACTTCATGAACATCCACTTTTTTGATTCCTGTTCATTTTGTGAACTGCATAAAACAATAGAATATGTTGTAATAATGACAAATATAACTTTCAAATACTAACATCTATTTATATCTCCTAATTACAGTGCATTACTACAACATTTGCTTTAATCCTTTTTTTTCTTTTTCTAGGAGAATGTGACTGTCAGACATATTTGGTTTATTGAAAAAATAATTAATAACTACATAAAAATGCGTTGAACATGATTATATTCAAGCAAGCTAAACCACAATATTTAAGAGAAAATATGTAGGGGAAGAGGGTTACAATATAGAGAAGACTACACAAAAATAAATGATAAAATAAACAGAGTTGTTAAATACAATAATTAATTTTGCTCGAATATATATAAATAAAAATATGTTATGTATTGTATTAGATTATGCCATTCTATTCATTGGTATATCTCTTCTTGTATGTGTAACAGTGGCTGTATGATGTGGTCGTCTCCGTATTACGCCCAATAATTTCTCTTTCATTTTCTTACGTAAATCTGGAAATTGACTTAAAGATATGAATGGAAAAAGGAAAATAGTGAAGTAGGTAAGAAAAAAGAAATAAAGTGCAGCTTCTGCTCCATAATCCTGCGGTAAACCACATAAATGTGCAATAAGTAATACAGTGCCTGAAAAATTAATACCAATATTTAAGCTTGAAACCAAAAGTAATTGGATAATCATTCGTCTTTGTCTACGCCATTGATTAGATTGACGAAGTCGTCGTCTTTGAATTTGAACACGTAAAATAAGAGCAATACTAGCAATACTCTCTAAGAGAACTGGTATAATTGAATGTACAATAGATTCCCACATACCAAGAATACCATAAGATTGATAGCATGGTGAAGCACCACATACGGGAACTGTATAAAGATAGTAATTCTCACAAGGTAGAAAAAAAATAACAATTAGATAGAAGAAAAGGATATATGTAACTAGAATAACCGAAGGAAGATAATGAAAAAGGAAACGTCCTCTTCGATTGGAAACCCATCGATCATGAAATATGAAAATATGTCGTTCGATTGCTAACCACGCCATTAGAACGAGTCCACCAGCATAGCAACCATTATCAACGAACCACCAAAGAAGACATACAAATGGTTGTGATGGTTGAACAGAGCCATACGAAAAGAATACAAGATAAATATTAATATCTATTAGTTGAATTGGCAAATAAAAGATTAATAGCAGAAGAATTGTATGATTATGTAATGCATGTCTATGGGTTCGATTCATTATAATATGAATTATAAGGAAGAAGCTACAAACTACTGATGGAATATCGAATAAAAGCATCAGCCAAAAACGAACTGGACGTGGAATCGATACTTCCGGAAAACTGAACGACTCATCATCATTGTCTGAACTGTTTCCAAAAGACATTTTTCAATGTAATCAAATGAATAAAACAAGAGTTTTACAATGAATGATATCAGATAATAAACTGCTTGATTCTTCTTTGTGACTATTTATGTGTCTAATAAAATGAATAAGAAAAAAACAACGTTTATATTTATCTCACTCTCAATTAACCATAGATAAAGATTAATATTTAATACAATGAAAGCAAAATATTTATGTAATCCTCCAGGAGTTTTCTTCCTTTAATAATTTTTTTTCTATTTTTAAGGCGATGTGAAGTAGAAATATTTAAATAGTCCTTCGCGAGTTCCCTTTCTTTTTTTCTTTCTCGACTGAGACATTCAAAATTATCATTTTGGATCACGATGTCTCAGCAATGGAATCTTTGAAAATATTTATTTAAATGCAAGATCTATATATATATGAAGGTCAAACTAATATTATTCGTTTCTATTATAGTCGTGAATACTAAGAAATTCGTGTACACCTTAAAATCGTGCTTGCGATGTTGAGCTTCGCATTGCATTTTGTAGTCGAGTGAAATACGAGTATCATCTAGTTAATCTCAAATATGTCAATCTATCAAGTATGAAACAATATAGAAATATGTCATTTAATGTATGTGATGTTCAATCTTCAAAACATCAACATTCCATTTTCATCTTCTCAATTATAAAAATGCATGTGTTTCCAATCTATTCTAATTACTCTAAGATTATGTCATTTCTGTCACATACTCAAGAACCGGAGATGTGAGACATGCAAAAGTACCTTTTCACAGCCCGACCTGAGTTTATGACGGTGGTGGTGGATGAAGATTATATCTTGAAACCTCACTGTACCTTTTCTTCACAGACTCAAACTTATAAATACAAAATTTTTTAGACCATTATCATTTGCAATTCTTCATTAAAATAGAACTGAAATTCTAAGTAAAACAAGAGGGTGAGTGTCCTTTCTTCATTTCATATTCAGCCACACCCACACCGCCAAAAAATCTCATCTGCGAGACTGTTTCTTTTAAATCGACTTATGCAGTTTTGTTTTTTATATCCGATTTATTATTTTGATTGCAGCGTGTACCTAAAGCAAAACTAACACTATATGATGGAACACATAATCAATCACGTGCCACTACAAATTCTTGTAAATAGTTAAAATGAAGGTAGTGGTCGTATTTCAATACGTAATACCATCAAAAAGTGAAAGTCACCGTGAGGATGAGTGCGAATGTAAGTATACTGACACTTACATCTGCAAACACAAAATCCGCAGTAGTGACTTTCGTTAGTTATCGAAAGTTATATGTTGTCTTTAGAATATATAGCTGAATTATTGTCAATCGTTGATTGTTCAGTCCCCACTCATGACTTTTCATCATGATTAGTTTTCTTCATGTCTAATATGAAGATGCATACCTTACAGTATGGTCGGCTTACTAACTGTCATTATAGTCACAACTGGAGTGACACGTCGACGCCGATATCTAATTATATAATATCCGATTCGAACTATAATAGGAACCATAAGTTTAAATACGACTGTCAAACCACCATAAAGACCAATAATAGTCGTTATTGTATAGATTGGACTTATTTGTCCATCAAATGTATATGTGCACCAAAGAGGATCACATGCTGCATAATAATTTCCATAAACTACTTCAGTTTGCCATCTTTCAACCAGAAGATTATTGACTATAGATTGAACTGTAGCATTACGAGACGACAAAGTATCATTTAATGGATTAAATGTTATATTTGAACGTGTATACATAGACTTAAGTTGATTAATACATGTTATATTATAGAGACATTCAAGTGTTGATTGAAGAAGTGATTCAAGTGGATAACATCCAACATGCAAACCAGGAATAGTTATTCCATTAAATGAAGCTTTTGATATACAGGTTGAACTTGCACCACAAATGCAACTATTATCATTATAAGAGTGTGGGACAGCCCACAGAGCATCATATTCAGCTCCCGTATCCAGTGAAACAAAATGCCAATTAGAAAAAATTGACGAAACAATACCATTCCCTTGATTTATATATCGAATAAAATCAAGAGTTAATGTAAATGTTCGAGGAGTTGATAAAAGAAATTGAGAAAGAATAATATCAGTTTGTGCTTTAATAGATTCTTCAGATTGTACTATTTCATTAATTATTGTATTTCGTGAAAATTCAGTTATTGCTGCATTCACTGTATCATTAGCAAGTGAACAAAATCCTGAAAGTAATTGAAAATGTGGCGAAGCAAAGAGACGATAATCATCATATGAATAGTCAATACCAGCTGTAAACGAATAAAGTAAAGAAATCCAAGTAGAAATGTTTACAACAAAATCACTTGAACATAGTTGATGATAATATGGTTTAATTGAAATAAATGAGTTATAAGGAACAGTAATACTTTTACACGGACAATTAAGTGTTGTTGAATATTGAGGATTTAATTGAAGTTGATCAAATTTATCTTGAGATGGGTTAGGAATTGTAACTATTTTAGTTTGTGTCTCAATGAAAGTATATATGACTAGAATGGCAACAGCTGCCATAAGGAATAACAGATAAACCCGTGTAATAATAATTTCCCTTTGTCGCCGTTGCTCGTCATCCCATGATAATTCACTTTCAAATAAGTTAAGTTTTATTAACTTAGTTTTTAATATACGCCAAATATTTGTAACGTTACGATCTGTTTCAGGTTGATCTAAAATAGATATGTCATTTGCGTAATTATTTCTTTGAATTCTAAAGCATAGGGGACTGGAAAAGATTGAAATAGTCAGTTAGTCATAACGAGTATTTATATTAAACATAAAGCAAAATTTATCTTATTATTCGTGCATGGTAATTAATAATCTATTGCTATATATCTTACCTGTTACGACATTTGTTTCTTCATGTGGACGCATTCGATTTCGTATCCGACGAACGATCATTGAGACAATAATTTTCAGTGCAACTGATAAGCCACCAAACAGCCCAATGAGTGTAGTAATTGTTTGAATAGGATTATTTCGAGAAGTATATGTATATGTACATTGTTCTGGTGCACATTTCTCATAGTATTTCTCATAACTGGTCTTTCCATTCCATGTTTCAATCATAAGATTATCAAGTATTCTTTGGATACGAGTATGTGGTGGAAAATGAGTACTATTTATATCAAGAATCGGCACATCAACAAATCGATCAGGTTCTACCTCATTTTTTATCACATTTTTAATCATGTCTAAACATGTTTGATTAAAGAAACATGAAAGTGAAGAATTAAAAACACTCGGTAATACGTAACAACCAACTTGTAGATCAGATATTGCAAAGTTTAGATAATATGGTGTGTCAGTAGTAAGACTAGTATAATCAAAGAAACTCATGACATCAGTACATTGACCATTAAAAGTACATGAACATGTTTCTGTTACTACTGGCTCCCAACCAAAATCAATTTGTGATGTACTAGTAACTAACTGATCTGTATAAAGATCAACACTTTCATATCCCGTATTATACATAGTAGTTGAATGTAAATCAACAAGCGAGAGAATACGTTTAAATTCATTTAATGTATTTTCTTGAAATTGTTCAATTGTCGCGTTTGTTCGAGTCTTAAATTCTGACTCCGTTACTACTAAGTCAGTAATTAATAGTGATTGACTAAATTCGTACCAAGCATCATAAATAGTTATGTTTGAAAGCGAACATAATGTTTTCATAGCGTTGAAAAAGGGTGGACCAGCTACTCGAAAGTCTATTGTATCATATGCTGCATCAATTATATTCACATCCGATATAGAAACAATCCAATGATCAGATATAAATAAACTTGAACATATAGGATGAAAAGTAGGGGATAATGAAGCAAATAATTCATAAGAATTGGCAATGGAACTACATGGACATTGAAGTGTGTCCGTATATTTCTCATCTAAGCTTTCAAAAATCATTTGAGATGGATTTTGTATAGTTTCAGTACGGACTTGAATTGATGCCAATAAATAAATGGTTACAATACTAAGAGCGAGTACCATTGTAATCAGGTAGACATACGTAATAATTTTTGTAGTCTTTGATTCAAAAGGATCAGTACGTGCCGCAGCTGTTTTGAATAGATTCAATTCAATTATTTTATTCTTCATCGTATTCTGTGCATTACGAAGACGCTGTAATACAGTAACTGAAAATCGAACATTTTAATTCATCTGACTTAACAAGAAAAAATTACCTCTATTAGGTTGAATTCGATTCGGAACTTTACGATTACGCCAGAAACGAACAGCATGTGGAATACACATGCGTAACGCAACTGTAAGTCCACCATAAACACCCAATAAAGTTGTTAAAACTTGCAGAAAGCTATTGCGTTCTGTAAATGTATAGATACAAAGAATTGGAGCACATTTAGAATAATAGGCACTAAATAAAGGTTCTGCTGTCCAATCTTCAATAAATAAGTTATTAGCAAGTGTTCCAATGGTTGTATTGGGTTCAAACTTTGTCTGATTAATGTTAAGAATATCATCACTAGTAATATTAATTGTTGGAAAATGTGTTAAGATATTACTTAAACATATGGAATCGAAGAAACAAGTAAGTGATGATTGAAGAAGTGCATCAAAAGCATAACATCCAACTAGAAATCCGGTTACATTTCCGAAAGAATCTGGTAAATAAAATGCTCCTTGTGTTTCAGAAGCATATGCATCAAAAAAAGCAACTTGTGCATAACACCTAAAAGAAATACCACAAAAACATTCTGAACTATAATCACCAGGCCAAATCGTTTGATATGGATATGCATACATTGTGCCATTGGGATAATAATATAATAATTCCATCGATGATGTTTGCATTGCTGGTTGTAAACTATTCATTTCAGTTGTATTAAACACCAGAGTTAGAAGGCGACGAAATGTATAGATTGTTGAAGTTTTTAAAAATTCGGCACTTGCATTACTTTGATTATTGAATGAATCTGATGAAAGAGTCAGTGGAGTTAAGAGAAAATTAG